CACTGTGAAATTTAAACTTATGTGACTGATTTGTTTTACCTAAGATTATAGTCTTGAGATCCATCCATTTACCTAAAAATATCTCGTTTATCTTTCTCTATGGCAGTGTAATACTCCATTGTATATAAACACCACAGTTTCTTTGTGTATTCATCTATTTATAGGCAAGTGGGCTGTTTCCAAGATTTAGCTATTTAAAATTCTGCTGCTATAAACACAGGCATGCATATATCACTGTGGGACGACACCTTAAAGGGGAATAGCTGAGTCAAGTGGAACCTCTTGTTTTAGTTTTTGAGGAATCTTCATACTGATTTTCATAATGTAAATTACACTCCCACCAAAAATGGAAAAGGGTTCCTTTTTCCTCATAACCTTGCCAGCATTTGTTATTGGTTGATTTCTTGATGATAACCACTCTTTCTGGAGTGAGATGTAATCTCAGTGTTGTTTTAATTTGCATTTCTTGGATGACCAGTGATGTTGAACACTTTTCATATATTTATTTAGTTTGTACTTCTTCATCTGACAAGTGTCTTATTCATTTCTGATGCCCATTTTGGACTAAGTTTTTAAATTGAGGGGCCTAATATTTTGTGTGTGTTTTTTATATATTTGTGTAAATATTTCTATGCTGAGGAGTTGCTGGTAAAAATTCTGCCCATTCTGTAGGTTGTCTCTTCATTCTGTTGGTGGTTTCTTTTGTTATGCAAAAGCTTTAAAATGTGATATAATCCTAGTTGTTGGTCCTTTGTAATATTTTCTGTGCAATTGGGGTTTTGTTCATAAAGTCTATACTAATACCAATGTTTTCAAGAGTTTCACCTATTCTATCTTCCAATGGATTGTTTCTGTTTTGATCCATCTTGATTTTAGTTTATTGCATGATGGGAGATATGGATTTAAGTTGTATCTTTGGCATGTGGAAAGCCAGTTTTCCCAGCACCATTTGTTAAAGAGGCTATCTTTGCTCCAGAAAAGATATTTGGCTCCTTTGTCATAGATAAGTTAAATGAGTGTGCTTGGAGTTGTTTCTGCATCTTCTCTTCTGTTCCATTGATCCTCAAATCTACTTTTTGGCTAATACTATGCTGTTTTTATCACTGTAATTTTGTAGTATAATTTCAGATTAGGGATTGTGATCCCCCTGACTTGCCCTTGTTGTCTAGAACTGCTTTTGATATTCTAGGTCTCTTCTGTTTCCATATGAACTTTAGGATTGTTTTCTCTAGCTCTGTGAGGAATGCCATTGGTATTTTCACTGGTATTGCACTTAATCTGTATAATAGTTTTGGAAGTATGGCCATTTCCAATATATTGATTCTATTTATTCAAGAACAGGGGATATCTTTCAATTTTCTGATATCCTCTTTGATCTCCTTTTTCAGAGTACTGTAGTTTTAAATGTAGAGGTCTTTCACTTTCTTGGCTAGACTGATTCCTAAGGACTTTTCTTGGTGCTATTGTGAAAGATGCTGCTTCTCTAATTTCTTTCAGTGAGTTTGTTATTCGTGTACAGGAATGTTATTAATTTTTTTCAATGTTGCTTTTGTGTCCTGCTACACTACCAAATTTGGTTATTAATTCTAGGTCTCCTTTGATGGCATTTTTGGGGTCTTCTATGTAGAGTATTATGTCAACCACAAATAACTTTTAACTTCTTCCTTTCCTATTCATATTCCTTATATTTCATTTTCATGTCTAATTGCTCTGGCTAATGTTTCCAGGACTACTGATCTTGAAGTTATGGCAATGCCTTCCTCAGAAATGAAGGGACAGGTGACACAGAGCCCAACAACAACTATCTTCTGTGATCTCTAAGGATTCTCATGGTTCATGACTAGTGGTTCCCTCAGTAGGATTCTTACTTGCTCCTTAATGCCCTTTGAAGAAACAGAAACCTTGATCATTGGAGACTTGTGAGCACTTTAACACTATTTTTAGGTGAACTCTATTGCCAGCAGTTTCTGTCAGAGCCACTGTAGTTGAGTACAACAGCTGAAGACACTGACATCCTCCTTTTCTCTCTCAGGCAGTGATTCTTTACCTGCTCACCCTATGCACTCCTGCCTCCTCATAATCACTAGACTATGTTTCATTATCATACTAATGGACAAATCATAGAGGGTTAAGACCCTCAGATATGCATTGAGAGCCAGGGCCAAGAGGTTGCACAAGTCTCCAAGGCTATGATGGGGAAGTATCCCTCTTTCAGTTGTCCTCTGGTCTCAGGTATCCTAAAGGAAGCTACTGTCACTAAGATAACCAATATTCCTGATGGTATCCAGAATTTCCATATATATTCTTGCAAATTTGATGAGAGCTCCAGTTGCCAATAAAATGAGGATATCTCAAACACCTCACAGGCAGGAGTGAACAACAATATGCCCATGAATGCTCTGGATGATAAAGTAGCTTTCTTATTGAGCTTCGTGATGCTCAGTTATCAAATGAAATAGCCAAAAAGAAAGGCAGATATGTCAAAAATTATCATGGAAGAGAATGAGTCTTATTTCTGAGATCTCCTTGTGAGCTTCTGAGCAGATGGAGTTGGTCTTTGGCCTCAGTGGGAAGGAAGTGAATCCCATCAACCACTGCTATGATGTCTTCATTAAACCAGGCCTCAGCAACTATGTGATGGGCAGTGATGAGAGAGCATGCCCAATACCAGTGTCTTGCTATTTATCATGTATGTGATGTTCGTGAAGGGTAACCATGCCACTGAAGTTGAGGTCTTGGAAGTATCAAGTGTAACAGGGATCTATTCTGGGAAGAACCCATTCCTCTTTGAATAGCTATGGAAGTTCACCATAAAAGATTTTGTGAAGGAAAAGTACCTGGAATACCAGCAGGTGGCCAATAATGATATTGTGCAATATGAATTTCTATGTGGCCCAAGAGCCCACATTGAAACCAATAAGAACAAAGTCAAGGTTCAGGGTACTGACCCAAATGTTTTCTCATCTCAGTATGAGGAGGCAGTGATAGAGGAAGAAGAGACAGAACTAGTAAGAATTTCACTGAGGGTTTCTTACAGCTCCAAGATCACTAATAGTTCCTGTTTGGTGGGCACCATATTCTCTGATACCTAGTCAAATCAGAAGTAGATAGCTCATGTATTTTTCTAAGAGATATTTAGTTTTGAAAGGGTATAGGTCCTAGGATGGGTTTCGAGGGAAACTAGAGTATATCATCTATGTGTTCCTGTTTTTCCTGTGTAAAACAAACAAATGTATTCTTTTACTTTTCTAAAGTTGTATTATTTAAATATAATTTTTAAATGTATAATTAGCTTCAAAATCTCTAATATTCAAATGATGCTGGCAATCTGCCTTCAGAACCATATCTTTCTCTATGTTTTAAACTAAAATCAAAATGGATCAAAGAACTAAATGCTAAAGCACAAACACTTAACAAGTTGGAAGATAAAACAGGTAAAAACTCTAGAAGCTATAAGCATTAGGATGGATTTTCTGTACTGAACCATGGTTGCACAGGAAATAGTACCAAGAATTAGCAAATGGGATCATATCAAACTAAAAAGCTTTTGCACAGCAAAGAAAACAAGCAACAGAGTGAAGAAACAACCTACAGATGGAAAATATTTTTGCCAGTTATTCCACAGACAAAGGGATAATATCTAGAATACATGAAGAACTCTTGAAAACAAGACCAACCAAAATAAAACACACAATAAAAAATAGGCAAGTGAAATAAATAGACACTTCACAGAAGTACAACTATCCAATAAACACACAAAGAAATGCTCAACCTTGCTGGCCATTAGAGAACTCCAAATTTAAACAATACTGAGATTCCATCTTACCCTAGAAAGAATGGCCATCAACAAGATATCAAATAATAGCAAATGCTGACAAGGCTGTGGGGGAAAAGGTACCTTTCTACATTGTTGGTAGAAATTTAAACTAGTAAACCATCATGGAAATCAGTATGGAGAGTTCTCAAAAAACAAAAACTAAAAAATTCATTTTATCCAGATATTTCCTTTCTAGATATCTTCCGCAAAGTGTTAAAGGCATTGCATTACAGTGACACCTGCACACCCATGCTTATAGCACCACAATTTCTAATAGCTAATTCTTGGAAGCCACCTATATGTCCATCAACAGATGAATGGATAATGCAAATGCAGTATTTACACACAATGTATTATTACTCCACCATAAAGTATAAACTTGAGTCATTCGTAGGAAAATGGACACACTTGGAAACTATAATATTAAGTGAAATTAATCACAGAAGCTTAAATATTACATGATTTCCCTTATATGAGAAACCCAAAGTATAAAAAAAGAGCAAAATAAAAGATAGGTAATAGGAAACATGGAGATAGATCATTCTCAAATGAGAAGGGGATGAAGAGATGGAGGGGGATTGAAGGGAAGAAAAAGGAACTTAAACAGGAATTAAGATACATTATGTATATGTAGCAATTCCCACAAGGAATATAAACACTATATTCTGAAAAACATGTACTAAGAATAAAATTTTAAACATTGTGAGGGACTAAGGTGAACAAAAAATGATGCTGTTTATAGAAATAATGCATTTTTGAGGTTAAGTTGCATGACCTTTCCTGTGTTATGAAAGAAATTGCAAAGCCATGAGTTTTATTTTTTGATGTGGAGCAAGGAAATATAGCATTTGTACAGGTATTTCTTTGGAAATATGAAAAACTCAGGTTTAATATACTTGGCAGCTAAAGAAAGAAATAAAAATTATCCGAAAGATATGGTTGTTGGCTTTCTTGTGCTTTTTATTTTTGAGTTCATTAAACTTTAATGACTTATACATGTCTGTTATTTCTAGAGAGTTTCAGAAATAAATCTTAGTTGGGTAGATTTCATGCTCACTCTTTCATTTATTCTCTAAACCTGAATTGAGCACCTGCTTTTTGGAAAGCACTGTATTAACACTGGGGATCATAGGTTTAACTGCATATAGAACTTTAAGGAAGGAAGAATATTCTTATAGGAACAATGATAGGATCATCTAATAACCAAGGAGAAGTAAAAAGAAGGTATGTGTAGGATTAAGTGAAAATTCTACATGAAATTCTCAGATAAGTGTTTTCCTTCAAGCATGGCATTTGGAAATTCTAAAAACTTCAAGTTCTTTGAGGGAAGTTAGTTTTAGTTCAATACAGATGGTAGGTAGGTCAGATGAGGCTGAAAAAATTGTGAATAAGGGCTATCCCCTCAAAGTGTGTTTCTCAGATTTTAGAACCAAATGCCCATTTTGGAAAGGTGTTGTTAAACGCTGTCGATCGTGGGTAATCCAGAGAGAAACTCACATCACAGCTCCATTTTTTCCTTTCTGTATCACCAAAATTGTAGACATTCACCTCTGTTCTTCAATGCAATTGAACAGTGCCCAAACTGAATATTTTATTTATGTCATCTTCATGGAGTTTTTGAGAAACAAGGATCTTATTCCCTTGAAATTAGTTACTAAAAATCCAATAGGTATGAGGATACATTGCCATGACCTTAGAGAGGCAATGATTGCTTTATTTAAATGGATGTTTCCCTTTAATACTGGGGGTTGATCCCAGGACCTTAACACTGCTACATCCTTGGCCTTTTATGTTTTATTTTTGAGACAGGGAAGCATTAAATCACTACTTTGTCCAGGAAAGACTTAAACTTACTATCCTTTTGCCTTAGTCTCCTTAATGCTGGGAAAATAAGCTTTCATCACACACCTACTTTCAAAGAAAATTTTTAAAAATTTATCTTGAGTGTAATTGGCATGCAATTTCTAAGGGCAAAAATTTTTGTGGTGGTGAAATGAATAAAAGTAGGAGGTAGACTGAAGAGCAGCTACGGGTGAGGAGAGAGCTTGAAATTCTACAAAATTTCAGTCACATACAACTGAGTAAAGCACCCTTATACTTATATTAAATACTGAAATCCAAGAGGAGAATATAGTTTTACTTGTCAAGGAACATTTTTGTCTGATATGATAGTAAATAGCACTTTGTTTTCTGAGAAAGCCTATTTTTAGAACATACCCAAATATGGGTATAAGGGGATGGGATCAACAGAATCAAACCAATAAGTGTTCTTCATTACAAACATATGTCAGGCACTTTGCCATGTTCTTCACATACTTTACACACATTACAATTGTCTTAGAAGACTTATCAAAGAAAGTAGATACACTAGTTTAGAGTGCTTGTGATTCTTTCCTCTTTCACATATCTGGTAAAAGAATATTGGGACTAGACCTCTTTATTAGTTCACCTGGAGCTTACTGTGTTTCACTCTTCCCAACTCAAATTAAATATCTCCTTGACGTATTTATTCTCTCTTCTCCTTAATGTCTCCCAGGATATAAAATGATGCATGCTGTTTCCAATGACCTTAAAGCAAGTTTAAAGATGGAACATTAAAATAATATTCAAATACAATTTCTGTTTCATCTGCTGGCCACATTTAGACACTGTACTGCTTCCCCTTACCCTGCGGTTACTTGAGAAGTGACTATGCCTCAGGGGCTGGCATTTTGTCTACTCCCATTTCTCTCTGTATTTCAGCACCCTTCTCTTGGTCTTCTCCAGGATGCCCTCTTCTCCATACTGGATCCAGACCTGCTGACCTTCAGTATGTCCTCCTGTGAGGGCTGTACCCTGCTCTCATGGGAACAAACAAGGCAGAATCACCTGTCCTCGCCCTGGCACAGAGCATTCCAAGTCCTTGTCAGTCCCATTCCTCAGACTGGTATTCCTCTGATAACACATCCTGTTCCAAGTAGAAGACACATTTGCCAGTGAAACTAAGGCCTGGCCACCCTCTTAGGAGTCTCTACCACAACCTGAAAGTGTTTTCCCAGAAAGTTGGTGAATACAGTCTCATTTAGTATAACATCCATCAGGGATTCAAATACTGAAGTTGGAGAAAGCATTTTGAAATCACGGTATAATTTTCAGTAGAATTATCCTAGCATGTTGTATTGAAAAGTAGTCACTGATCTCACTGATCCAAGAATCATTGAATTGCAATTCAGCATAGTGAAGAAGTGAATATTTTATCCATGTTGTCTCCAAGGAGTTATCAAGAAATAAGAATGTCTCTTGAGATTGATTACTTAAATTCACCTCGATAGAAGTAATTTTCCATGGTTTAAGAGATGCAGTGCTCACTTCATTCAAAGAAAAATTTAAATAGATTATCTTCTTTATAATTCAGCAAACAGTAATAAAGGGCAAAAATTTGTATAAGGCTTTAAAGAATGACAGAAATGGAGTTGGATTAACCTGTGTGGTAATTAAACTCCTTCATCATTGGGAGAAGAGGAAAGGCCAATGATCATGGATATCACTCTGCAAAAAATATCATGAGGCTATTTTCATAACATTACTGGTGTCCTTCAAAGAGGTGAAAACTGATGGATTGGCAGACATGATATCTTTGGTTAGCAAAGATAGAAATAATTCAACATCTTTCCACTGCCTCCTTTCTGTCTACTTCTGGAGAAAAATTCTATTTTTTTCTTTTTCTTGTGAGCACAGCAAGAACTCAGGTATGTCCAGTCATTTGGAAGAGAGTAGAAATTCAGATCTTGTTGGATGTATCAGTAGGAAGGAGAAAGTCTTCCCTCTACAAAGATTTTAGAAAGAATTGCATAGATAAATAGAGAAAGCTATTGCAGTATTTTAAATCTAAATTTTCCCCAAAGGCCAGATGATAGGATTGTGGGAAATGATGTTGATTTTCCCTGAAAGCAATGGAGCCAGATTAACATGTACTGAAATCTCTGAAACCATGAACCAAAAGACAAATTTCTTCCTTCAAGTTTACTTTCTCAAGAATTTGGTCACAGTAATATGAACTTTACTAATATAGGTATTATTGGATCAAAAAGGCAAAACATAAATAAGACATGGCACCTAAAACCCTAAAATCAGGGAGGCTGAGACAAGAGAACCTAATTTCAACCCCAGATCAATGTATGGACTTATTGAGAACTTAAATCAAGATATACATTTAAAAATTTAAAAATGATTCCCAGAGGTAAGTGGGTATGGTATCCCTTGGCAAAAAAACAAAGGGCAGCCCTCCCCCTCAATGAGGAGCAGAGCCAGCCTCAGAACCAAGCAGGCGAGCCTCACAGGCACCAGCAGCACACACCCCAACCCACCCCCATTGAAATGAGAAGACACATAAACAACTCTCAAAACCAGAATCCCAGATCACCTAAAACAACCCCAAAGGGAAACAAGATTGAACACTCTGATACTCAATCACCTGGACTCCCTGACCTGGTGATGAAAGAGGATCTGGAAAAAATGAAATCAGAAATAATTTCTCACATAACAGCAGAGATTGTCCTCATAGTGCAAGATGTGATTGACAAATCTAGAGAGGACACAGATTAAAAAAAAATAGAGGAGCTGAGGAACTTGATGGAATCCCAACATAGGAAACAAATGGAATCCATAAAACACATGCAAACAGATTACCAGGAGATTAAAAACTCCACTAAAATTTTATGCAGCAGAATGAGCCAATGTGAGGACAGAATTTCAGATATAGAAGATAAGATTGCAACTAGTGACCAGGAAAAGAAAAATTTCTTTAAAATAGTAAGTGTCCATGAGAAATCAATCCAGCAGCTGCTAGATGATGAAAAGAAGAATAATATAAGACTAATTGGAGTCAATGAAGAAACAAGAGAGAGTGCAGAAGACATTTGAAAAATGTATACAGAAGTGATGGCATAAAACTTCCCAAGCAAGGGAAAAGAGCTTGACATACAGATAAGTGAGGCATATAGAACTCCAAATAGCCTTGAACAAAAAAAATCTACACATAGGCATATAATAGTTAAGATTCCAAAAATCTGGCAGAAGAACAAAATTGTACAAGCAGTTAGAGAAAAGAAACAAATCACATACAAAGGAAAGCCCATCAGAATCACAGCAGACTTCTCAAAGCAAACCCTCAAGGGAAGAAGGGCTTAGAGTGACATATTTCAAGCCCTAAAGGAAAACAAACTCCAACCTATATTGATATACCCTGCAATACTATCTTTTAAAATTGATGGAGAAATAAGATACTTTCAGGACAAAGAGCACCTTAGGAACTTCATGAATACCTGAGCAGCACTCCAAAAAAATTTAGACAATATCTTAGGAAAAGACAACTAAGATCACAACCCCAGGAAGACCCTCAGAATGAATCCATCTGCCACTACAAGAAATTAAATATTAAGGGATAGAATCCAACAAAAAGAAAAAGTGATGACAATGATAAGTCAATGCATATTGGTTAGAACTATCAATGTTAATGGCCTCAATTCACCAGTAAAAAGAAATAGACTGGCAGAATGGGTCAAGAAGTAAGATCCAACAATATGCTCCATACAAAAAACACACTTAATTCAAAATGAAAATCATAGACTGAAAGATAAAGGGTGGAAAACTATACTCCATGCAAAAAGAACCTGAAAAAAAGCGGGAGTAGCTATCCTCTTTGCAGATCAAGTGGATATCAAACCAACACTATTTAAGAGAGACAAAGAAGGACACTACATCCTTGTAAAGGGAACAGTCTAAGAGGGAGAGATGATAATCATAAACATATAGGCACCAAACACTAGTGCGCTCAATTATATGAAACAAATACTAACAGACATGAAAAATCAAATAAGCACTAAAACAATAGTAGTGGGGGACCTCAATACCCCACTGTCACAATTAGATAGATCAATTAAACAAAAAATGAGCAACGAAATACTAGAACTCAATCAAACTCGAAGAAATGAACTTAACAGATGTTTACAGAGTCTTCCACCCCACAAAATCGGAATACACATTCTTTTCAGCTGTACATGGGTCATTCTCCAAAATAGACCACATAATTGCTCATACAACATGTTTAAGTAAGTGCAAAGGAATTGAAGTTATCCCCTGTATATTATCAAACCATAGTGCAATGAATTTGGAGATCCATAGCAAAAGAAATTCAAAAAATTTCATAAACACGTGGAAATTGAACAACAGACTTCTGAATAACC